AGGATTACAAAGTAGGCTAGAAAATAAAAGGCGAAGGTTGATTTTAAGAAATTCAACAGTTATAATTATTTAAAAGTCTACTATTTGATAGGCAGGATTACTGAAAACAAATCATTCTAAAAATATGAGTAAAAAATGAGTTTACATTAGAGTTTGTACGTGCTCTGATTTGATTTGATTTATTTTACTTTAAGTTAATGAACAAACCAAACAACTGTTAAGTGATATGTTTTGGTTCGTTTAGGAAAATTCAGGCTATGTTTGATTCAAGTGGTTTAGAGGGTTGAGCTCAATAATCCTCTATTGTTTTTTTTAAGTGATTTAGCCTAAATACAATACAGGACTCTGGGAAATACTTTTTGCACACTAATTTTTTCACCTCAAACACATTTCTCACTCTGTTCTTTTTTTAACTATTAAAATGAAAGGAGAATCAGCGGTTAAAACTAAAAGGAGTGGGTAGAAAATGAAAATGTACTTGCAGAAATTTCTTCCCTTACAACTCATTGATTTAACAGTGCATGGTATTGTTTTTCAAAGCATAACTTGCATGTGCGTGCTTCACGTTCGGTTTCACAACCCTTTCATATATGTGTCAAATTAATAAGATTTTCGATCTGTTCATTAATACATGACTAAAAATCTTAATGTAATCGAGAATCTTACTAACTCACACAGTAAACACAGAATGTGTAAAAATAAAAAGGACTCTTATAATGTATATCTGAAACAATGATGCCTCATCTACGGTTTGTGTTGGTCCCTAGCTGGTTCAGAAAATATGTAAGAGCCCCTTCAAACATGCAATAACACATGAAAGATTACACTGAATAGTAACAAACTTTTAGTCACAGGTGAAGAAGTCTGAAGGAAATTGTGGCAAAAGTGCTAAACAAACTGTAACGCCGTGAAAACTGGCAGCTTCCAAAATCCAACAGTGATGACGATGAACTCTGATTTGATTACGAAGCTCCATCCCAAAGCCAATTTTCGTCAACGGTTTAGGATTACAAAGTAGGCTAAAAAATAAAAGGCAAAGATTGATTTTAAGAAATCGAACGGTTATAATTGTTTAAAAGTTGACTATTTGATAGGCGGGATTACTGAAAACAAATCATTCTTAAAATATGAGTGAAAAAGGGGTTTACATTAGAGTTTGTACGCACTCTGATTTGATTTGATTTATTTTACTTTCAGTTAATGAACAAACCAAACAACTGTTAAGTGATATGTTTTGGTTCGTTTAGGAAAATTCAGGCTATGTTCCGATCAAGTGGTTTAGAGGGTTGAGCTCAATAATCCTCTATTGTTTTTTTTAAGTGATTTAGCCTAAATACAATACAAGACTCTGGGAAATACTTTTTGCACACTAATTTTTTCACCTCACTCTGTTCTTTTTTTAACTATTGAAATGAAAGAAGAATCAACGGTTAAAACTAAAAGGAGTGGGTAGAAAATGAAAAAGTACTTGCAGAAATTTCTTCCCTTACAACTCATCGATTTAACCGTGCATGGTATTGTTTTTCAAAGCATAACTTGCATGCGCGTGCTTCACGTTCGGTTTCACAACCCTTTCATATATGTGTCAAATTAATAAGATTCTCGATCCGTTCATTAATACATGACTAAAAATCTTAACGTAATCGAGAATCTTACTAACTCGACACAGTAAACACAGAATGTGTACAAATAAAAAGGACTCTTATAATGTATGTCTGAAACAATGATGCCTCATCTACGGTTTGTGTTGGTCCCTAGCTGGTTCAGAAAATATGTTAGAGCCCTTTCAAACATGCAATAACACATGAAAGAATACACTGAATAGTAACAAAACTTTTAGTCACAGGTGAAGTCTGAAGGAAATTGTGGCAAAAGTGCTAAACAAACTGTAACCCCGTGAAAACTGGCAGCTTCCAAAATCCAACAGCATCTGAGAATCAAGAGGAGTTTCTGCGTGTTGAGTGGTGACCACACTCATTCACTTCTCACATAATTTCTATATCATCAGTACGACGCACACCGATGGTGATGACGATGAACTCATTCTATATAAGTCTTTTTCTGTTCTTTGTCTGCACAAGAACTATTACTAATCACCTTCTCATATATATATGGCATTTTAAGGAAAGGGATCTCCATTTTTCAAAAAAAATGAGGACACCCTTTTGACCGTTAGATTTGGCTTTAATAAAATTATGTGGTTCAGATTAAATCACAGGCCACAGAATTTCATTAAAACTAAATCTAACGATCAAGAGAGGGTGTCTCCAATTTTTTTTTTTTTTTTTGAAAAAATAAGGATCTCTTCCCTTAAGGGCTTCCTATATATATATATATATATATATATATATATATATATATATATGATGCAGCCTAGCTAGTTCTAGTTCCAAACTTCAAACAAATTTCATATCTCTGAATTGCATCACATCGATCGCATGGATACCATTAATTTGTCCAATGACATTACAAGAAATTTAATCTTATACCTTCTGTTAATCACAGTAGGATTATAAATCACAGCCAGTTGGGAGGGTGTTTAATCTATTGCCAAAAGAGGGGGAAAAAAAAACTTTACAAACTATTGTGCTTAATTCTCTTACAACGATTTATTTCAGTGAAAAACACTTCAACGATCAAACTATAAACAATTATATTATTTGTCAACTGTTAATTTGGATGTAATGATAGTCAAGTACATTGAGTTCGAAAAAATTATGTGCTCTCCAAAACGGTGTTTTTTAATTAAGTATTTTGACTATGAAAAAGGAGTTTTGAGGCATTTTTTTTCTTTTCGGTTACAATAGTTTTGAGAACTTAGTATATGATAAAAAATAAAAAATAAAAATTTTAAAAAAAAGAAAGAAAAAGATATGATATATATATGTGTGTGTGTATTCATCATCAACACTTGTGAATACTTGTTCACCGTTGCTTTTGGAACCAAGATGGAAGATAGACTGGCTTGGGGAGCGTCATGCGGTATGATTGAGTAAACGATTCCACCGCACCATGCTATTGCATCAACCATAACTTGTGATATATAACAAGTAAAATACTGGGGTATTACTTGTTACTTAGTCACAAAATCTTTGATTGGTTTGAGACGTATAGATGATTAAAAAATCTTCAAATTGAATGATTTTTGCATGTATGATATTTAGATGATTATAAAGAGAACGAACAATTTTGATTATGATATTCGCTTGGTTAAGATACGTTAATCGTATGAGAAGACAAGTATGTTCCCCAATGAAAGAAACACAAGCAATATTCTTTGCACATTGAATCGCCTTTGATCCAAAAGAAAAATTCTTTAACTAGTGTATTTCCCTAAAAACCATTTATCTTAGTGAAACATCCCGAATCTTTATATATAGGATCAGTACACTTTCGCATTAGCAAGATTTTAACCTCTTTTTTTTTTGTCATACTAAGTTACATTCATTGAATAAAAAAATTAATACAAGGAGAAGAAAACCCAAAAGGCAGTTCACAACCTAAATACAAGATCAACATGAAAAAGAAAATATAATGGAAAGCCCAACAAGACCTAATTTAGAAACAACAAAAAATCCTAAAAATGGAGAGGAAACCAGCAGCCACCACCAAGACAGCCGACGTGCCTCCATCGCATGGCTACCGCCACCAAGAGAATGAACCAAACGAACCAACTAGATCAAAGAAAAATGGGGGTGAGCGAGTCACCCGTGCAATGAGCGCTCCCATAATCCTACTAAATAGTGCTAATTCCACTTTAACAGCCACTCAAAACCCAAGGGTGCTGCCGAGGAGAAGCACCCGAGTCGAGTCGCAGCGGTTGGTAGTTGAGGATACACGATGGAAAAAACCGTTGGTGAAAGAAAAGTGCATAAAGGCTGAGACAAATTCAAGAAAATTGAGACAAACCTTAGGAATTGAGACAGAGATCGACGACAATCAATCCAAAACAGAAAAGTTGTATTAAAGTAAAACTCACCATTTACACCGAATCATCACTCAACCGTCTCTCTTTCTCATTCCGTTTCATATTTTTCTCGTCTGCAATTTTCCTTTTTCTATGTCTCATCTGACAAACCAAAAGTGCCGCTTCATTTTTTTTTTCCCTGAAATACTAACGGAATTTAAGAAAAAAATCTGCAGTCTGAAAGCTTTTTCAAGTTTATGGGATTTTATAATTTTGGAAAAAGAGATAAAGCACACCAAATTAAGTTTTATCTCCATATATAATTTTTGGTGCAAAGAGAGATAATATTAAAAAAAGAGGGTGAGATAGATAAACTGAAAAAATAGGAGAAAGACGATCTGATGCCATTATTTATGGGATTATCCATGACTATTCAATGGTTAATATTGGACTATAATCTAATGGAGGCCATAATTTATTCATAGGTTTATGGGATTTCAGGTTTGATTGTTATAATGAATATGATATTAGGTTTTTTAGTTAAAATGGTCTTTAAAGATTGACGCAACTCATTTGATCCTTGATATTGAAAATCAACAGAATTGGTCCATAAATTTGTCCATTGATTAGACAAAAATACCCTTAATTTAACAGAAATTTTCAAGCAATGACCAAAGGAACGACTTATATCGATTTTCAATCTCAATGGAAAAAGTGAGGAGTTATATCAGGAACGACTTATATCGACTTTCAATCTCAATGAAAAAAGTGAGGAGCTATGTCAGTTTCATAGACTATTTTTTACTAAAAAAAACCTATGATATACGCAAACTGAGGGAGGGAGAGACGGGTGAGTGATACTGTGTAAATGGTTTAATACAATTACGTTCACGCGGACGGATTGAAATTCGGTAAATTAATCTAATGGTTGAGATCGTGTTGACGGATTGAAATTCGGTAAATTAATCTAATAGTTGAGATCGTGTTGAATGCGAATAAATGCATCGATGTTAAATGTAGAGACTCATGATTCTTTACGAAAAAAAACACTTCAAAAATCAAACTTTAAAAAAAAAAATTCATCATCTATCATTTAGTAAGAATAAGCATTAAATTGGTCCAGTAAGACAAGACTTTCTACAAAAGCATGCATGGATTCGTATTTTCCCTCTCCTTCTCCAGAATATTTAACTTGTTTGGTCTTAAAATCCACCGTTACCAGTCTTATACTATTCTTACTACTCATGCGGAAGACTTTTTCTCCATTGCCTTTAGAACCAACATAAGCAACATGGAAGATTAAAGAGAGTGATTCAGGGCCCTTGGACAGCACCACGCGGGATGATTTAGTCCACGATTCCACCACACCATACTGTTGCATCACCCATAAACTGAGGTGGCAAGTATTTTCTCCTAATCTCGAGTAATGCCAAGGAAACTGAACCAAGGCGAGGGAATTCTCGTGTGCCGAAAGAACAAAATGAGAGGCACCACGGAGCAACCTTTTTCTCGTCAATGATTTCGGCAACTCAATCTCGCTGAACGATTCAGTGGCCATATCAAACGACGCAATGACATCATTGTTGCAGTCTCGGTCACGGCGTAGGATCCAATGCACGGCACCATGGACGAAAACAGTCTTATGATGCAAACGTTGAAGAGAAACAGCAGGAGAAGCTGGTGGAGGAGGACTGAGAGTCTTCCAGGAGCCCCTGGCTAAGGAGTAAACCTTGACTTCGATTGGGGTGTCCCTGGCAGGACCACTAGAACGACCACGATCATTCCTAAGAATTGTTAGAACCTTGTAGTCATTGGTGCTCGAATCGTAGCCAAACGCATAAGTAGGTTTAACCCGTTTATACGTGGAAGGAGGGGGCAAAGTCACAAACTTTCTAACCGAAGGGTTCCAAATTATTATGGGGAATTTGGGGATGTCATTAGCAAAGCATATGAGGCCGTTGGAAGTCCCAACCAGACCGTAACTTGAAGGAGTCACTTTGCTTCTTCCTCCTTTGTAAGCCGGTTGGTGAGTCACGGGAGTTATTTTCTTGGTGTTGGTAGCATCAATGCTGAAGGAAGAAGCAGAAGCAGAAGCAGGCTTATCCGAATACAACAAATAATCATTAAAGGACCATAATAGATGGAGACGACCAATATCATTGTCGTCGGTATTTGGACTTTGGCTGCGGCGGAGATGGGCGGCAATGAAGGATGAGCTTTGGATCATATATCTCCATGACTTGCTTACGGCGCAGCATTTAACTAAAGATTTGACGGACGACCTCAACAGGATTTCACGCACGATTTCTTCGGGTAAGTCGCAGCAGTACTGAAATTCCCCTTGGAGTTTGATGCAGGTGGTTTTTACATCAGGTGGATATTGAAAGGCGGCGTAGGTGGTGGTGGTCTTAGGGTTCTCCCCTAGGACAGAGAACCGGCGACGAGGATCACTTGGAGCCTCCTCCACCGAAGAAGATGACGACAACTTCCTCTCCTTCAAGGGAGGACGTGGTGGTGAATTGATGTTGGTGGCGCTTCCAAGAGAAGAGGTGGACATGTTTGGTTTGCTGGAACTGAGAGTTGTCGAATGGTATACCAGCAAAAGTTCCTTCCCCTTGGTGTTTATATATATGTGTGTGTACGTCGACAAGGAGTATTCGACTAGGAATCCAAAACCACAACGATATATTTCTAATCCAAACTGTAGGACATATCGGACTTCTAAGACTTATCTCCAATTCAATCTAAGCCGGGAAATCCTAAAATTTAGTCTCCTATTTTCAACTATTCATCTACATGTATTAGGTTTCAGTTTTTTCCTCCAATGACGAGACCTATAATTCACACCTCCTACTTTATAATTTGTTGAATTTTTATTCTATCAATTTTAGAATTAATGTTTGTATAATCTTGTTTTATTCTTACGAACATTGTGATGTAAAAAAATAAATAAATTAGAGTTGGATCACTGGATTGCATATCACAATATCTATGATGTGCACACAAATAAAATTGACATTACATAAAATTCCTAACATTACATGAATAACAAAGAGATTACACAAGAATACTTCAAGCATGTTGTTCCAATAAAAATACTAAAAACAAGAAAGAAGGCAATTGGAATTTCTAACGCTCTCTTTGTCTACCAGATAAGCTAAATTTAAAAGGAGAATAGAATGATCGAGGAAATTGATAGTGAAATATAGTGGTAGAGAAAAATACCAAAAAAATCGAAACTGACCAAAAAATCGAAATGAAGGAATACCCAATCGAAAATACTGAATTATTCAGTACTCGAAACCGACACTTTTGGTACGAGAATCAGTACGAATGTGGGTTCATTTGATAAGACTGACTCGAACCGAATTAAATATAAATAAAATTTTAATTTAAAATGCATAATATATAAGATTCCAAATTATTAATGCTGTCGGATTGTTTAAGAGTTAATCTTAATCGTGAAATTAAAATCAAGTCATTCTGAGTTGGTTTGGTATTACTGTACTTTGAAAAAAAAACTGGTTCTGCTTTGCTGTGAGAATAAGCTCATTTTTACTGCTTCATGTTTTCAACTTTTTACTCAAAACTATGAAAATAAGCTCTTTTTAAGTATTTACCAAATACCTTTTGGAGCTTAGCTTTTTTTTATACCAACTTTTTATAAAAGCATCACAGTACCAAACCAATACTCTCTCGATCAACCTCACCTCACTCAATCTCGACTCAACTCTCCCAAGTCTCTTCAGGCCTCTCTTCAGTACTTCAGATCTTCAGTCATCTTTCCCGATTTCTGTCACTTTCTCAACTCTGCCCACATGAGCCACAGCCACCTGATCTTGACTCCGGCAACACTCAGTCTCTCTCCGACTTTCCCTCTTGATTGAGTCTTGCTCAAAGCAAGAAATTTTCACTTTTATTCGTCAAGTTTAATTAGGGTTTCAATTTGGGATTCTAAAATGGGGATTAGGGTTTCAAATTAGGGTTTATTGGATTAGACTTTCTGAAATTGGGGTTCTTAGGAGGGTGTATTCAATTGAAAATTTGAGAGATTTTAATGGATTTATAAATCTATGGATTTTTATGGAGTTTAAGGGGGGTGTATTCAATTGAGAATGTGAGAGATTTTAATGGATTTATAAATCCATGGATTTTTATGGAGTTTAATTGATTTGTAGAGATTCCATATAAAATTTTGATTCAATTCCCTCGAAATCTCATGGGAAGAGGTGAGATTTGTGGATACTTAAAATACACTACGAAATCTCTCCAATTCCCTCTAATTCCTCAACTTTATCAAATTCTTTAAAATCAATTTCTAATTGAATATACCTGGAATGTTATAAACTTCTTTAAAATCTTAATTGAATACACCTGGATTTCTAAGAATTTTAATAAGCTATTTTAAAATTCTAATTGAATACACCTAGAATTTCAGAGAATCACTTAAAACCCTTTTGAGGGAATTGAATCAAAATTTTATATGAAATCTCTACAAATCAATTAGGGGAGTGTATTCAATTGAGATTTGTAGAGATTCAATCAGGATTTTAAGTGATTCTCTGAAATTCTAGGTGTATTCAATTAGAATTTTAAAATAGCTTATTAAAATTCTTAGAAATCCAGGTGTATTCAATTAAGATTTTAAAGAAGTTTATAACATTCCAGGTATATTCAATTAGAAATTGATTTTAAAGAATTTGATAAAGTTGAGGAATTAGAGGGAATTGGAGAGATTTCGTAGTGTATTTTAAGTATCCACAAATCTCACCTCTTCCCATAAGATTTCGAAGGAATTGAATCAAAATTTTATATGGAATCTCTACAAATCAATTAAACTCCATAAAAATCCATGGATTTATAAATCCATTAAAATCTCTCACATTCTCAATTGAATACACCCCCCTTCATAGGGAGAAGTGAAATTTGTGGATGCTTAAAATACACTACGAAATCTCTCCAATTCCCTCTAATTCCTCAACTTTATCAAATTCTTTAAAATTAATTTCTAATTGAATACACCTGGAATGTTATAAACTTCTTTAAAACCCTAATTGAATACACTTGGATTTCTAAGGATTTTAATAAACTATCTTAAAATTCTAATTGAATACACCTTGAATTTCAGAGAATCACTTAAAATCATGATTGAATACCCCTAGATTCATTAAAAAAAATTAAAATCCCTCAAAATCCAATTGAATACACCCCCCTTGAATAGGGAATAGGGTTTCGAATTAGGAATTCTGAAATTGAATTAGGGTTTCTGAAATTGGGATTCTTAAATGGTGATTCGCATTTCAAATTAGGGTTTCTAAAATTGAAGTTTTTGATATTAGGGTTTTGGGTTTCAAATTAGGTTCTCTAAAATTGGGGTTTTTGAAATTGAAATTCAATTGTTTATCTGTATCTTTTATTGAAATTTGTTTGTCATTACCGATCCCGATCCCAATTCTGAACTAAAAAATAAAAATAATTTCGGTATTACCAAATTTTGAGAAACTTGGATTTGGTATTTACCGGAAAGGGATCCTAGTCCGAAATCCGGGCCGTTAAAATTTGATTTAACGGCTATAAACAAGGGATCCTCTTAAAATTTATAATAAACAGGGGATCCTTTTAAAAGTTATAATAACTGTAGCTGTTAAATCAAATTTCAACGGTCCGGATCGTGGATTTGGTGGAAAGGGTATTTACTATTCTTTCTTGAATACTTTGGGTTCAGGATCGAACCGAATCAGCCATAGTTGAAATACGAGAACGTTGATTTTTTTTTAAATTTTTTATTTTTTATGGATTAGTGAACAAATTAATGGGTATTTTTAGGCTTTTAGAGGAATTTTATTGTTGGATCTGATTTGGATTAATTAATAATATTATTTTGATTGTTAAATTCCTATTTGAACCGTTGAATCTTTTTTATTACCGTTAAAATTGATTAAATTGGATTTTAGTTTTTGAATTTAAAAGTTGCCGTTGAAAAAAAAATTCAAAACTTACCGTTGAGTTTTAGAAATGGGCTTGCTGTGAGCCCAGTACTAGCGAATCCCCCAGTCCACTTCCCTCTCACGTGCTGCTTATGCTTGCCAGGAAGATCTACTACAATGAATTTGTCTACTTTTACTGATGTTAAAAGCACTTAAACATGCTTTTGAGTTTTATGAGTGATGTTGATACAAGAAAACAGGTCATACACTCGTAATGTCACATCCACATCTTACTACCTGCCTCAGGAAGTTCACATTGCCTCTCTTTTCCAGGTACGTACTGTACTTGGTTGTCGAACCGACCGGCTTTATGCTTGCTCTCTCAATGTCCACTTCAGATCCCCACGCTTAAGCTCACCTGAGGCTTGGAATCTTCCAAACACACCCTCCAAGCACGATCCCAGAACCTCAATCCTTGGCTTCTCTTTCCGAAGCCAATGTTGTTGTAGGGCATGCAATTCCGCTGGCTTTGAGTTTGAGTTGATAACGAATTGGCACATTTCACACAAGAAAATTGTCAACCATGTGTTGGATCACATCAGCCCCATCAGAGTGTAGACAAGTGTTTTTCACCTGCAACACAATAAAACCGTAACGCATGTCAAACTCGGCCTGCAATGTGAAACGAATAAGAAAAATAACGGCAATGGTGAATTTCTGAAGCCTTTTGACTAATCTTTCCAACTGCATTACAAGATTTTTTTGTTAAACGCAATGAATTTCAAGGAAAAGAAAGCATCGACTTGCCTGAATGGTACTGTGTGCAAGGTATCTTTGTTTACTTCTGCTGAAGTTCACATCCACCCGTTCCCAGCTCATCTTGGTCAAGTTTCTGATCATTTCCTCTGCAATCGTGTTGCGAAATTAGTGAATAAAATGTCAAGGAACTAAGAAGTACAACGTCATAATAAGGCAATCATGGGGTTGACATCATAAAATTGAGTTATCGGATGAATGCGACAACTAGAGATAGAAATACCAACTAGTTTTATTCAAAACAAAACCATGTACAATGGATGCCTCTCGCAACATAAACTTATTCTCCCTCCAAATTTATGATTACTACAATTAACATCAATTTAGTCCCATAGAACTACTAATCAGCCTACACATATTTAAAAATAATCTGCTAAGGTACTCAGAATTTCCAACGTTTTTCTTTTAATTTGTCTACAACTAGTGCATGTCCTATACCCGTATAATCCCATGGGAACATGGAACCCTATGAGTAGAAATTCCTTCGTGCTAAAGCTGGAATAAGCTTCAGAGAGCAATGAACCACTGGGAATAAGTTTTTAGTCAGACAAGATACACAAATAGAATACCTTCGAAGTCAATTTTCTCGGGCCCACTGGCTATGGCTTCCAACGGTAATTCTTCTTGAGGACTTGGACTTTTAATTGTCTCCACATTTACAATATGTCGATATTTGTCATCTCTGGATAAATTTTTAAGCTGATAGAAAAGTTCATGTTAGATTAACTCCAGACACTAATAAAGCACCCGTGAGTAGCTTCAGAAATACCTTTGGCAGCTCCTTCTTACGCCGTAGAGATGATGTACTCCATCCCACAAGGTCTATAAGAGTTGTTAAGTGCTTCACATACATGACGGACATAGTAATAAACAGATTTGTCAGTGCAAATTGAAAGTTCAACTCACTCAAACTTTTACCTACATTTAAAGACGCCAAATTATCTCCCAACATGTACCCTTCAACAACGCCAAATAATAGAAAATAAAAAGAAACACAAAGCACAAACAAATGACAAGGATACGATCAAATCGAACATTTGCATAGGCAACACGGCGCTTGAAGGACTGCAGTGCAGATCTGTAGAGACAAGAAGATATGATGGCAAGTTCTAGAATTATGAACGACAATAGACGATCATATATTACGAAAAAGAAGAAGCTGTAATTATCGATGAGGACTCACATGAATTTGAGATCTTCAGTGTCATGGACCATCTGAAGAAGAAGGGGAGGTTTTCCATCATTCCTATCAGTTAAAAACAGATGTCTTCCACTTCTACCTAGACACCATGAAGTACGAGCCGCTACTTTTTCAAGGGGTTTTACACCACAAAACACTGGAACCTGAAATATTAAACCAACACATAATCAAAAACTATAGAAATTCTGTACCAATTCACTTGAACCAAGTCTCTCCTCATTAAAGAAATTCTGAAGCTTCAAGTTTGCATGTATTGTTTAGATTAAGGCAATTCATATAATTCCGCCCTCACATAAGTCTTGGAAGTCCAGAAAAATGTCATGAATTGGGGGCGAAAACCCAATTACTGTTCATCATCTTTCAAGATGTTGGTAGATATGTGAATAAATACCTAATTCTTCATTCAACTAAAACAATATCTCATAGTTCTACCATAAAATGGCACCAAAAAAGTAAACTTTAATTTCTAAACAAAACTACAGATGATATAACATAGAATAAGCATTATATCATAAGTTCATAACCAAATTGGTTCACCTGATTATGCCCCCAGGAACCGAGGTGCGGAGTTGCAGACGTTATAAAATTCATGGGCTCCAGTCCAGCAATTTTGCGTTGGACTTTTTGTTTAAGCAAGGGATCCTCAACTCCATCTCTCCTATGTTCTCCATTTTCTTGAGATAGTTCTCCGGTGATGTTTCGTTCATAAAGCCTTCCAATGGCATATCTTGCTATAAGCCCACCTAACGAATGACCAACAAACGAGATCTTCTGTACACTCGGGTGACGTTTTATCACAGAAATAACCTGAGAAAATAAACAATGACAATAGCCATTAACTCCATAATGCCTTCATATACGAACCAAGCCAACGAATACGAGATCAAACACCCATCATTCAAATTCAAATGAAAAATGATAAACAAGTAGGTTCAAACTGAACAAATCCAAAAAAAAAGAAAAAACCGACCTCCTCTGCTAATCTCTCTCCCATCACATCAACACCATCAAATGTTAACATTGAAGAATTGCATTCACTGCCTGCAATGCAAAATTGCAAATTAATTAGCAAACTCACTTCATTGCTTGGAAATGCAATTCGTATTTCGTACAGTCTAATTTCATGGGTTTATCAAGTATAGTAATTTATTAAAAACCCAAAAAAAAAACATATTGCCAAAGCAAGCAACTTTGATAAGGAAAGGACTCACAGTGAGCAACAACATCTTCTGGGTATCTCTTCAGAAACTCCTTTGCTGCATATTTCCAATTCTCAGCACTACACCGTAAATGCACAAAATCAACTCAACCCTCAAGCAACCCACATTCATTTTTTTTCCCTTTCTTTCGATGCAAGCAATATTCTAAACTACTCTAATCTACAGAGAGCGGGATTTGAACTCGGGTGCAAGGCCGAGGGTTCACCACCCTCGCCAACTGGCCTAACCCACATTCAAATTAACGAAACTGAGACTCAGAAAACAGAGTACATTTTTCACTTACCTGCCGATGAGACCATTCACCAAAATAATCAAATGGGTCGGACTCATTTTTTCACCCGTTTGATCCTCCACCTCTATATCGAAACACCCATTCTTATCCGTTTCGGGTTTCGATCTGAAACCCCGAAACTTGGGCATGTAAGAAAACGTTTCTTTTTTTCCGCTCGTCGTCATCGTCCCCTTGCTTTTGCTCCTTTTCTTTTTCCCCGCGTTTTTCTTGCTCCCTCTGTGCTTCATCTCGTTCGGGGGCGGCTCCTCCTTCCGCACGACTCCATCGCCGCCGATCTCCACATCCATCGTCGCCATGCTCTGCAAATCCGCGGAATCTTCCGTCAATGCGAGAGGTTGTGGACTTTTGGAAGTCGCACGAGCTCGCGAAACGCAATATGAAATGTGGGTTTTTGTGATCTTTCGCCTTCGATTCGGGACTTTGGCGTCGGGCAGATGGGTCCGTACCGCGAACTGGAGCGAATCATTGCTGACGGGGTTGGTGGTTAATAGCCCTTGCTCTTGAAGTTAATTACGGAAATGTCATATGTTGCGCTGGTAGTGGTTGTTTTTGTATCCAGAAGCTTTGAAATTTGCATCTACGATTCTACTGGGTAGCAAACGACTTTGACACGTAACTCTCCTGCATGTGTTACATGATTTACTAAAAAATTACCCCTTTTTGTATTATTTAATTTATTTTTGTTTTCGCTTTGTTGCATGTTGGCCAATTGCCACGTTGTATTATCGAATCTTTAGAAAGCTTTTAGGTTAATTATGCAACACATACCATAAATAACATAAGGGGTGTGATATCCACACATCATTTTTTACTCATCTCACACCTTTTTGGTTTTCGGCCGTCGGATTGGATGAATTGAAGAAGATCAGCGGACAGAAATTAACAAGGGTATGTGAGAAGTAAAAAATGATGTATGGATAGTACACCCCATAACATAATCAGAACTTCATATTCTTTTATTCGAATGAACACAAACAGTTCCTGATGAAAACTAGTCGTAACGATGAACATATACGATTAAAGGATATTAAAATCCTCACAAAGAGGATCAGGAGAGAATCCTGTTCCTTTTATTCGTTTTTATTTTTTGCACTCTTTTATAACCATTGGACATGGATCACGATGCTTTGGTTTGTACCCAGGATAATATTCTGTCTTGAAACAAATGCATGGCCTTAGCGACGTTTTGGTTTATTGAATATTTATCACGTATTTAAAAATTACTCTTAGTATTCAATAGATATGTATCATGTGATATCAATGAAGTATTCCTCCTCTAAGAGTAATTCTTATGTACGTTCAACTGTAATGTGAGATTCTTTCCACGAGGAAGATCAATAATGAGGTTGGGTGATGTCAATTTTAGTTGTGATTGCACAAATACGCAGTTCATTGATCGTATACCAGATTTTATATAGAATAATGTTATTTACACGCTCATTTTTACTTCCAATACACTCATTAATCTCCCACACAACCTTGTTAATTTTTTGTCATTAATTTTCTTCAATTCAGTCGATTCGATAGTCTGAAATTGGTAAGGGTGTGTGAATATTAAAAATAAGTGTGCAGATAGCACTACCTTTATATATAGGATTTTATTTTGTATTATTAGTTGAATATTTTAGCAAGAATCGAATCTAAGATTTCTCACTCATATATAAAAAGGAATATCATTAGATCGTAGTACTAAGTGACTATTAGTTGAATAATTAATTGCTCAAGGATTACCAAACAATTTTCCTTAATTAGACGGCCACCGGTCCCACAACTTCCCGGGCTTTTTTCTTTCTTATTCACAAGCTCCTGGGCCTATTGTTTCTTGCAGTCCTCGATCACAGAGTGAGTGAGAAGAAAAGCCCAACAATCGAGAAAGCCCAAACAAACAAACAGGTGAAAAAACAGAGTTCACCCAAACGTTTAAACAGATGAAGAATCGGTGGTGGACAGCAAGTCAAAAGAAAAAATAGAAAAAAAAAGAAAGAAATAGTTGGGGAATTTATTACTTGTCGAGGAAACAAAACCCCATGAAGATTTTTTTGGTGGCTGATGAGGAATGAGGATTTAATGGACCCTATTTCTCTACCACTTTTAGCTGCCAAGAAGAAAGACACCCAAAGGAGGCAATGGGGTTTGGTTTTAGGCTGAACCTCCTCAAGTCCGGCTTCCCACTTCAGCGTTCGCACTGGCAAACTGCTTCTTCTCCTTCCAAGCTCTCTTCTGCTTCTGGTGAGTTTAATTTTGATTGGCTTTTTTCCCCAGCTGATTTCCTGCTTCTGCTTCAGAAAAAAAAGTCTGTTTCTTAACTTTCTTTTGCTTTCAAATTTTGATCTTTTGGTTTGACATTGTATCTGTTTTTTGCAATTTGAAAACTTTGTAGCATATTCTAAGTAAAACCCACAAAGAATCATGCTAAAGTGAATTGGAAAGATGATCAAAATGCATGTTTGAGAATTGGGTCTTGAAAGTTTTGAGATTTTCTTGAATTATGCTGCATTGGATTTTCTTTCTACTTTTTGCAATCTTAACCTACAAAGAGAAACAAAATAGTAGTAGAGTGAATTTGCAAGATGATCACAAGGGATATTCAAGAATTGGGTCTTAATGTTTTCAATCAATGTGCTATGATGGCAGACATTGGGCAATTTGGAGTTTAATAAGTTCCCATCTGCAATCTCATCCGGCTGAAGTAGTTACGCCAAATAAAGATAAAGAGAGGGGTTCCCGCTTTAAAATTCTATAAAACCACGACTACTCCTTACACAAGTTCTCAAAGAAGATCAGGCAACATTTCATTGATTCATTCTTCTTGTTATTTTATTAGATTTTCTGAATTCCTTATTCAGTTTTCTGACAGAAAACAAATGAAATGTGAAATTCTTGAGTAGTCTATTTCCCTTCGAATGATGAATCACCTTACATTGAAGTAAAGGAGTCCTTTAAAATTCATACGGGATTTATATACTTGTCTATGTATCATTCCATTCGATCGTTTAGGTCTCTACTTCGCCTGGACGGTTATTTCACAGTATTCTTAAAGCCTATATGCGATGGATAGACTCCTGCAACCATGACATATTTTCTTATTTGGACATAATCATAATTAAATTTCTTTCTAAACCTAAATGAAAGAGAATGTTTAATTCCACAAAAACAAGTATTTTTTTTACGAGGTATTTGCTAAACCTAAATTGCCTGTTTATCTGTTAACATAAGTGACATTGGTATTTGCTCGATTTTTTTGTCAAATATTTTTGTATTTATGATGTTCAATGTAAAATGATACAGTTAGAGGCAGGGAGGGCTCTTTCAACTCAGCAAGGCTGTCATTTCTGTCAATTATTTCTGAGGAAGGCGAGACTTCCGGTAAAGATACTCTGAAAATCTACTCTTGCTCATCTGCTTCCCCACAAATCTTAGAGGATGGCTTCTCAAATTTGGAAGAGGTGATAGTTTGCCTTTTATTGAATTGTTGCATACAATTTGCAGAGTGTTAAGGGCACTATGTTTTCCTTGTTTTTAGTAGATGAAAATCTTACCCAGGACTTTCGCCTCTCAGATAAGATTTAGGAGGGTGCCAAAGAGTAGTTCATCAAATACGACTGGGAATAACCAGATGCCTGACGGTGACTTTAGATCCAGCAAAGGCTTAGAAGCTTGCAGTGCAGCTCATTTTAGTTTGTTACTGAAAAATCTTGATGCTCTGGAGGAGACTTTTGCTAATTCGGATGTGTTAAAGTTGGAAAATGAGATACTTTCGCAGTTAGGAAGGCTTGGAGCTCTACAGTTATTCAATGCCTATCTGTCGAGAACTCTTACATCTTCAAGTTTTTTGGATTTGTCTGACATACCTACGGTACCCATTGAAGAGTATAAGATGGATAAGAAAGTAGATAATGACAGAGGCAAGACTATTGTTTGGTCTGGGAAGAAGGAAGAACGAAGATCAAGGAAAAGAGCATCAGATAATGCTAGAGTTTCTTCTGAATTATTGTCTCCTAAAACAACTTGGGAAGGTTTTAAGCCGCCTACTGTTTCATCAGCAAAAAGAGCATCAACTTCTCGAAGGAGAAGACCTACAATTGTTCTAAATGAGGCAGAACTGTCAACCGGGGTTAAGGTTGTACTTATCTTTCAACATACAGATTAAAATGAAGCTTTCCTTCCTTACTTCAAGGATGTCTTTACCAGCCTTACTTTTGTATCATAACAGGTGATCGCCAAATTGGAGAGAGTTAAGGCAACTTTGGAAAAGGAAACTGGTACCGTAGCTACCTTAAGTTGCTGGGCGGAAGCAGCTGGAGTACACAAGAAGGTGCTGTTACAGAAATTGCATTTTGGTTGGTATTGCCAGGATGAGCTTATAAGGAGCACTCGCTCCTTAGTCCTATACCTAGCTAGAAGCTATAGAGGGCTAGGCGTAGCCATGGATGATTTACTGCAGGTTTGTGAAACCTATAACTATTTTGTGGTTGTTCCGCTTGTTGCAATATAACATTTAACTGTTTTGTCTAGTTTATAAAAGATACTTCTCAGTAAACTTTTTCGTGAAATAATTTACATATGATTAAGTTCGAGACAGTTCGTTATTGATCGCTGAAAAAACAGCTTTGGTAGACTCAGACATCAAAACTCAATGCATAAATTCTTTTTTTTTTTTTTCTCGAAACTTACTACTTCTTGTATTTCCATGATATTTACTCTCAATTTATTAGTCCCTCTCTTGAGTTCCCCCTATTTCACAGGCTGGAAACTTGGGTCTCCTGCAAGGTGCAGAAAGGTATGATCCCTCGAGGGGTTACAGATTTTCAACCTACGTCCGGTATTGGATAAAGAAATCAATGTCAAGATTGGTGGCACGGCATGCTAGGGGGATCCAAATTCCTGTATGTTCCTCCCTTATTTTAAATACTCTTCATACATTATCATCTCAGTGAGCGATGGCATTTGATCCTTGAGTTGTTTTTATTTTAGTTCACGCTAAGCAAGGCAATAAATCAGATACAGAAAGCTCGCAAAGCCACTTACAACAGCCAAATGAAATACCCCGACGATGATGAAATTGCAAAGATTACAGGTCTTTCTTTGGCGAGAATCAAATCAGCTAGCACATGCTTGAGAGTTGTGGGTTCGATAGATGACAAGATGTGGGATAGCTCTGCTGGGACATTTATGGTAACGATCTAACTAATCCTCTCCATCTCTCGTGCATTCGCATTAAATACATATTTTTTGTTTCTAGGAAGTGCTAAATGAAGATCAATGTCGTTAGTCTCGCTAGTTTGTACACTTAAATTATCTTACTCTTTACATGTCAACCTCGAAGCTTTTATAGTTTGGGATGCTAACCTTGTAAAACATGTAAAATCCTGCAAACGTGCAATAAACTGGAAAATCTCGTCGAAAGTTGTAGTGTAATTAGCTTGTTAATTAGAAAACCTGTTTTGTGTTAATGATCTAGGAATTTACAGCGGACAAATCAATAAAGAGCCCTGAAGAAACTGTAACGAGGCAACACATGAAAAAAGACATTCATGATCTGCTCAAGTGCTTGAACTCGAAGGAGAGGCAAGTGTTGGTGCTGCGATATGGACTAAACAACTACGACCCCAAGTCACTCGAGGAGATTGGAAAGCTTTTCGATGTGAGCAAGGAGTGGATACGGAAGATAGAAAAGAAAGCTCTCACGAAGCTAAGGGACGATGAAACACACAGAAGTTTAAGCCATTACTTGAATAACTAGTAGATTCAGAGTAACACGAAAAAGAGCAAGTCATTCTGAGTTTCTCTATCAGAATCATGGGTGACCTTCGGTTTTGTTCCGCGCCAAAATTTCAGCTCACAACACTACCATGGGAATTTTTCCGTTCTCTCATGTGAAGATCATATGCTGTTGTATTGTATCCTTAGCATTCTTTCATTTCCCTTGGTGGGATTGTATAGTATAGAGGCGGCCGTATGGCGCGTATTGTATATTTGATCAAATGGTGGTGTTTATACACAAGGGATTGCTCTAATGACGCGGTTAAACTCCGTTAATCTAGCTTATTTGATGAATGCTAAATTGATTCCCTCCGGATCTTCTGTGTTTTCTCTCTCAAACTCCTGTCAGCTCACCCTCCATGCAATTTGAAGGCCTTAAGGACAAAGTAGCTTGATCTTTTGGCTACGGATGTATCGTGTATCATAGAAAGTATGGACGTATCTGCCTCACTCGTTATACTTCCAATACCAATTTTTTTGTCTCTAAAACATGAAAACAAGGCATAAAACGACCTGTCGACCTTGAAAATTTTAGAGTACGCCAATGTATGACACAGTTTTATACAGTCTGATGTACATTGATGACTCTTTAAGATATTTTTCTTACACAATCCATCCATCCGTACCAAGAGATGTCACTTTTCCTTCTGATATTTCATTTGCACCTCTTGCTTTAATAGAGATGCCGCCCTTCCATCTTTTTGGCATATCTTTTACACCTCTCGGGGTAGAAGATATTATTCAATAGGGTTGACTCATGCAATACCACGCGCAAGGACCGGAAGTTCAGCTCCTTGTTATTGAACCGATTTACGAGGCAACTCTACTTAGGTCTTTCTCCTTATTGTAGACTTTATTGTTTCTTGCTCCTCCCACGAGCACCTATTTTATGGAAAGATTAATATCATTCCTTAAGTTTTTGCAGTTTTGGGTTACTCGTCTTTGTATTACAACTCAAAATTTGCTCAAGTTAATTTTGTTAAGTATAATGCATTTAAAAAGTACGTATGAATCTTGCTCAATCACATAACAAACTAATGCTTTTGTATCTCATGTAAAATAACACATCTAACTGCATACAATCTTTACAAGTCAACATCCCAAATATTATAGTTTTTTTATATAACGATTATATTTATCCTAAAAAAATAGAGTAATAAATTAGTTGTAAACTCGTTATTTTTAATATCTAAACTTAAGATCTCTGACTTATAAATAAAGAAAAATATCATATCTGAATACTAAATAATAAACTATTATAATTTAAAAAGAAGAAAATTCAAAGATAATTATACAGAAACACGGTCTTAATCCATGTTTGCGACAAGAGATGTGTTATCCACGTATTCTTTTTTACTTTCCACACATCTCTCACAATTGTTGGTGCCCAATCAAAGAAATTGAAGAATATCAAAAAATATAAAATAACAAAAAATGTGTAAAAAGTAAAAATGAGTGCACGGAGTTAACAATCTTTATGACTATTGGAATAGGATCCTCTTTGTGGGGATTCGGATAATCAATCAATCATGTATGTTCATCGTATATTGTACGGTCAGTTTTTATTAGGTACTATTTATATTCAATTTAAAATTTAAAATAATTTCTAATCATATGATATACTATAAACGGACACGATTAATTAATCTTCAGATCCTTACAAAGAGGATCCGGAGAGGATCCTTGTCCTTGACTACTTATGGCGGTGAGGAGACGTTAACCCAAAAAAATCAAACTGACAAACCACCAAACACACTACTTTATTGATGAATCCAATCATTCGTCAACAAATCAGAGGTTTTCCAAACTTTCTTCTCACACTCTCAGAACCTAGTAATTAAAAACAGCAAGTAATTAAAAAAGGAAATAAATTAGTTAAAAAAATATCCCAAACCTCCCAACCAACCACGCAAAACCCCGCAACCAAACACGCCCTTAAGTTTGTGCGAGTGAGTAAGCTTCATTAATCGCTTTCACCCCAATTTGGACACGTGTCTACTTTTAATCCTCCCGAAAGCAACCTAACCCATTCCGTTAAGAAAACGACTTCGTCACCCTCCTCTCACCTCACCGACGTCACAGACCAATCCATTCCCCGATTCCCGTTGATGGATTAAGTCAAACTTCATGGGAGCGGCCTCGCTGGCAGAACTTCATCCGTCGATCACGTAGCTCGCTCACCCGCGGGGAAGTATCCGTTACTTTTTTGCTGCCAAATTTCTTGCCTCCGCCACGCGCCAACAAACAGTAAACGTCGTCGTTTTCCCGCTTCTTCATTATCTGTCCCCCTTATCTCGGAGAGTGTCTGAAACGTTCTCTATAGAAGCGTGAGATCCATCTGACTGTGCTATCACCTACGCTCAATCCTACGAAACTCTAACCCGGTTCACCAATCCTGGTAGGACGGTCCGACAAGACTCGTATACAATAGCCAATGGTTGCATTGCACGAGTAAGGTTTTGTGGAACCTGATGCAGGCGATCATTTCCTTTAACCTCCTCAACCTTCCCAAAACTCGATGAAGTTTCTGTGTCCCCTCTCTCTCCGTCATTGTTGCAGAAGCGATTTCTAGGGTTGCCAGTCGGATTTCTTCAGGCCAATTCACACACCAAAACGCAAAACTTCGCACACTGCATTCTGCGTTTTGATAGTATTCGAAAATCCCTAATTCCAATTCGCCTTAAAAACTTCCCAATTCAATCTGATGAGTAATGACTCTCGCCACCAGTGAATGGCTCGCTTCCGCACTCCCACTCTCCTCCTCGCATTCCTCTCCGCCCTTGTTGCCCTAACCGCAAACCCTAGCCACCTCCTCCTCGCGTCCGAAGATGATGACTTTCCGATTAACGATTCCGATTCCTATCTCTTCCACCAAGACTACTCGCCGCCGGCTCCGCCACCTCCTCCGCCGCTCCCGCCGTCGGTCTCTTGCACCGATGACCTCGGTGGCGTCGGCTCTCTGGACGCCACGTGTCAGATAGTCTCCGATTCGAACCTCACCAGCGACGTGTACATAACAGGGAAGGGCAACTTTTATATCCTGCCCGGGGTGAGATTCGGCTGCGCGATTCCTGGCTGCGCGATAATTATTAACATTACTGGTAACTTTAGCTTAGGCAGCAACGCGTCGCTTTTGGCCGGGGCTTTCGAGCTCACGGCGTGCAATGCCAGCTTCCTCAACGGCTCGGCGCTGAACACGACGGCTTTGGCTGGGAAGCCGCCTCCGCAGACAAGTGGGACTCCGCAGGGGATAGATGGGGCGGGTGGGGGACACGGAGGGCGTGGGGCGTGTTGTTTGGTGGACAAGACGAAGCTTCCGGAGGACGTCTGGGGTGGGGATGCATACTCGTGGTCGACGCTGCAGAGGCCGGCTAGTTTTGGGAGCCGAGGCGGGTCGACGAGTAAGGAGGTGGATTATGGAGGTTTAGGTGGAGGGAGGGTGAGGCTCCAAGTGAAGGAATTGCTGGTGGTGGAGGGAAGTGTTTTGGCTGAAGGCGGTGGCGGAGGGAATAGAGGTGGCGGTGGTTCTGGTGGCAGTATCTACATTAAGGCTCATAAAATGTAATGTTCATCATCAATTCTCCTATTTTTTTTCTTAATTTAATTAATAATTAGATGTTCTGTAGTGGTTTTTTTCTGTTAAATGATCTTTTTTGTGTTTTTGATGCATATGTTGATGATATGTAGGAGAAAGTAGATATAAATTTACTGTTGGTAAGACGGCGAGTTTGAGTTTATTTGTTCAGTAAGAATTTTACAGAAATGCTAGGGAACTGAAATGTTGCCATCACAGCCCCCCAATTGAACAGGCACCCCAGATGTTTCTGCACCCCATAGATATATTATATAATATATGTTTTCTTCAATAGTATATAAATATATAATAGCCTAATAGGGAACATAATATTGGATTATTTCTCTCTCATGAGTCCATAACTCATAATACTGCTCTTAAGTAAATCCCCAAATACATGAGATCGTTCAATTACTTGGAGTGAAGTGCTAACAATTTGATTCATGTAAGGCATTTAACGTATATTATAATACGATTGTTAATTGAATGGACATAGGAAATTTAGGTGTTTTATGTTTTTACTACTGTTATGGAATTGACTTGAGTGTTTCTTAATTGATTATGAGTTTTAGTATTATAGTTTGTGTTAGTTTTGATAATACATTTGTTTATTGGCAAGTGATTTTCACACATCATTTTTAGCTTCTCAGATACTTTTATTTTTGGCGATCGAATTGAATAAATCACACAAAAACAACAGACAAGATTAAAAATAGGTGTCAGAGGTTAAAAAGCGTGTGTGTTTATTATCATTTTCCTTGTACAATGTCCAAGACAAAAATTAGTATGTTAAAAACATATTGGTGTTTTCATAAAAGATTATATTAAGGAGGGCCCCATTTAAAATTTTCGCACATGACCTCAAATTCTCAGAGATGTCCCTGGATTATAACCCTTCGTTTGGTTGAGTTTTTAGTTTGTTGAGGCAAGTCAAATAGAATGAAACACTGAAAGAACTGACATGACATAAATTTTGATCGGTTGGAATAAATTCTACAGTGCTACGTTGTGTTCACCCAGATTTTTCTTATAGAATGTCAGAGATGATATTTGTGCGCTGTTTCAGTCACAATTGGTTGTACTTTGAGTCTTGAGATGTGTCTAAAAACTCTTGTTTAGTTTACATCCACTTACTTGTCTTTTGGAATGGAGTTTTTGTGGATAATAAGTAAAGTGAATGATTGATGTTTGATCTTAAATTTTGATTTTATGTTTGAATTTGTGTCATCATTGTTGTTTCTACGCCAGTGACAAAAATGATAGAAAGGTAACAACAGGGGTCTGTGGTAACTCTGTAGTTGTGCATCAAAACATGATCATTTTACTTATTATTCAAATGTTACCTTTCAAATTTTTTTTTTTTTTTACTTATTATTCAAATGTGCCTTTGCCCATGAGCGGTAGGTCTCGGGTTCGAGACTTGGGAGCAGCCTCTTCATAAATGGGGGTAAGGCTAGCCGACATTCACCTCTCCCAGACCCTGCGTAAAGCGGGAGCCTTGTGCACTGGGTACGACCTTTATTATTCAAATGTGATTCTTAAGTGTGCATAGTTTGTGAACGTGCCACCGTGCTTCATCTCATTGTTCTCATTTCCCAAGACCATGTGACTGTTGGTACGATTGTGCTTTACATCTGCATCAAGTTATATCAACACGGATGTGAATCTTATGCAGGGTGACCTATATGCCTTCTAAAGAATTTTGTTGTTATGAACTGCAGGACTGGTAGTGGCAGGATAAGTGCCTGTGGTGGTGATGGTTACGCTGGTGGTGGTGGTGGAAGAGTGTCAGTTGATGTCTATAGCAGGCATGATGACCCCAAAATTTTTGTGCATGGTGAGACACCATGTGTTTGCCTGACATGGCTAATTGTTTGTCATTTCTTATAAAAAAATTTGGACAAATCTTATGTTCAATTCAATGTTTGAGATTTTCTTGACCTGTTTTTTAGCGTTTAATAATATTCTCTCAGTAGTTTCTCTTGTTTTGTAATCTGCTGTTCTGATTTCAATATTAAATTTCTTCGAAAAGTAATTTTAGTGTTCACAATTGTTCCACTGATCTCTTTGTTTACTTGTTAAAGACTGATTCTCTTCAAGTAACTCAATTCATTTTAGCTTTTATTCTTAAAATGTCATCTATCAGAAGATAAATTATTATTTATCTTTATATATTTAAGTTATGCGATTCTTAAAATTGAAATGTGTCAGCTTTTATGAAAACCCTCTTGGTGGAGTTCAAAAAATTGTTTTGGTGGTAATTACTTCTTGATGTGGACTGAGGGGATGTGACATTAATTATCTCATTATCAGGAGGAAATAGCTATTCTTGTCCAGAAAATGCAGGCGGGGCTGGGACTTTATATGATGCAGTTCCTCGAAGCCTTATTGTTAGCAATCATAACAAGTCAACAGATACAGAATCACTTCTTATGGAATTTCCTTATCAGCCTCTTTGGACAAATGTTTATATTCAAAATAAGGCGAGGGCGACTGTCCCATTGCTTTGGAGTCGTGTCCAGGTTTGTGGAACTCAAAATGTGTAACCTATAGTGTTTCTTCCTTCTCTGTAAATTTTCAGTTTTTTGTATGGTTTATATAAAAACACTTTCTTGTTGGATAAAAGGTGTTTTCTGTTTATATCCCTTGTCTTACTTTCATATAGATTTTGGTCTAGTTTGAAAAGAGAATACAGGTATCAATACCATAAAGAATTTAAAATTTGAGGAAAAGGTTGAGTCATCCATTGTTTATGTACTGTATAGGTGCAAGGACAGATAAGCCTTTTGAGTGATGGTGTGCTAAGCTTTGGACTTCAACATTATGCTTCATCAGAGTTTGAGTTATTGGCTGAAGAATTGTTGATGAGCGACTCTGTAATCAAAGTAAGTAGCAAATTTTGGATTTCATTGTTTGCAGTTCCTTATTATATTAAGATGCAATCTTGTTGACAATTTTTTGTTTCAATTCCTTCAGATAATTAAATTTCACATTGTACGAAGCCATTTATTTATTTTTTCTTTTGATTTTGAACTTGATATGATGTTATGGTATTCAAAATTTTGAACTTGTCGCCTTTCCTCCCCTCCTTTTCTAATTTCAGGTGTATGGGGCCTTACGCATGACTGTAAAAATGTTCTTGATGTGGAATTCCAAGATGCTCATTGATGGTGGAGGGGAAGAAGCTGTTGAGACATCCTTACTCGAGTCTAGCAACTTGGTGGTTCTCAGGGTAAGTTGCTTACTATCTCTTTGCATTATGTGGAGTTTGTCTTCATTTATGCCAAGTAATCTTTGTTTGTAATAGGGATCATCTGTGATACACTCTAATGCAAATCTGGGAGTTCATGGACAAGGTTTATTGAACTTATCAGGACCTGGAGATTGGATTCAAGCACAACGTCTGGTTCTATCGCTATTCTACAGTATTCATGTGAGTGGTTTTCTTTGATGTCTTAGCCTCAATGTCTAATCTTCTGTTTACACGTATGTCATTAACTGTTTATTCTTTCATTCTGAAAATTTATTAGCAATTTTGGTCATTCAAGGGCCTATGGATTGTGCTTGTTCTTCTTGTACTGTTTCTGTGTGGACTGCGTTCGTTTTCGATCAATTGGTTGTTTAAAGTTTCTAACCATGACATTTTGAATTGAAATATATCCAGGGATTTGATAAGCGATCTTCTTGGATAATTTATGTGCTGTATCATGCTAACAAATCCCATTTTCCTCTGATTCGTCATTATTTATGACTTCTTTTTCTTTATCAAGGTTGGACCGGGATCTGTTTTGCGTGGTCCTTTAGAGAATGCCGCATCTGATTCTGTGTAAGTTTGACCTGGGGTATTGTTGTTGAATCTCCACAACACCCCCCCCCCCAAAAAAAAAAAAAAAAAAAACCCAAAAAAAAATAAAAATGAATGGGGAAATTTGTATGGTCCTTTAGTCACTAAATTTTTCGTTTTGTGCATTTTCCACAGAACACCAAAGCTTTATTGTGAAAACAAAGATTGCCCCTATGAGCTACTTCTTCCACCTGAAGATTGCAATGTGAACTCATCCCTGCCCTTTACTCTTCAGGTGCGTATCATTTGAGTGATGCAGTAATGGGGCTCAAAAAAGTTAATTTTTGTATTCAAGTTTTACAGTTCTGTTACTTTCTTTGTCAGGTATGCCGAGTTGAGGATATCATTATTGAAGGCCTCATAAAAGGATCTGTTGTTAATTTTCACCGGGCAAGGACCATTGCTATCCATTCTTCTGGAGAAATAAGTGCATCAGGAATGGGTAAGATTTTTGGGATCCCACCTTCCTATCCAAATTCCAACCCCAGAATACATTAAGCAAAGCTTTACTGCTTGGTAATGATAATCTTTCTTGGTTGGATTACATATGCATGCAGGTTGTACTGGTGGTATTGGCAGTGGCAACATTTTAAGCAATGGAATTAGCAGTGGTGGCGGGCATGGAGGTAAAGGTGGGGTGGCATGTTATAATGGCAACTGTATTGAGGGTGGAATCTCATATGGGAATGCAAAGTTGCCTTGCGAACTTGGTAGTGGAAGTGGATATGACCTTTCAGCTGGCTTAACTGCTGGCGGTGGTATTATCAGTAAGCTTATGTTTGACTTGTATATTTTACACTTTAATTGAATTAACAGTTACCATTTCCAATTCTTTTTTCCCATTCTAATACGTTGTATTTTCCAAACAGTAATGGGTTCTTCAGAACATCCCTTGTCAAGTTTGTCTGTTGAAGGCGCGATGACAGCTGATGGTGAAAGTTTTGAAGGGACTGTTGTGGAGGAAAAGTATGCCCTTGTTGATAACACAACTGGAGGGCCTGGGGGTGGGTCTGGTGGAACTATACTTCTGTTCTTGCGAACACTAGCTCTTGGTGAGACTGCTATTCTTTCAAGTGTTGGGGGATATGGTAGTTCCATCGGTGGTGGTGGAGGTGGTGGTGGAAGGATTCATTTTCATTGGTCAGATATTCCCACTGGAGATGTGTATCAGCCCATTGCAAGTGTGGACGGAAGCATCCTTGCAGGGTTTGTGTAGTCTAATTTGCTCATATGTGCATAAGGACTATTATGATTAATTCTCCAAGTAAAAAAAAGGGAAAGGAACAAATAATTTATTGGTTTATAACTATATTGCAGGGGAGGGGTGGGTAGAGACCAGGGTGGTGCTGGAGAAAATGGAACATTGACAGGTGCAGATTGCCCAAAAGGTCTCTATGGGACCTTTTGTGAGGTACTTATTCATTATTTGGACATACTTTGTATTCCTATGTACAATCATCTAGTTATTTTCTAACTTCTAAGATCTCTCTCTCTCTTTCACATGAACGTGCACTCATTATAAGTCTATAAGAAAAAGTGATTCTGTAGGCAGTAATATTATTGCACTTTGAATGTTAATTATTGCTACTCTAACTTCTTTTTTTTTTTTCCAGGCATGTCCAGCTGGTACTTACAAGAATGCTATTGGGTCTGATAGGGCACTCTGTCATCATTGTCCTGCTACTCAGCTTCCCCCTCGTGCGATTTATATTCCTGTCCGAGGTACTTCTCTAACATTAGTAATTTATTGCTTTATTGGGAGCCAGGCCTACTGCCTTTGAGTTTTTAGTGGTATTGCATCCTTTGATTTGTAGTTTGTTGTATTTAGTCTCCTGTACCATATTAGTCACTTCTGGTATCTAAACATGAAACCATTTCTTGTTCTCTTATCAGGTGGTGTTGCTGAGATTCCTTGTCCTTACAAATGCATTTCAGACAGATATCACATGCCAAACTGTTTTACAGCTCTTGAAGAATTGATTTACACATTTGGTGGGCCTTGGCTATTCGGTCTTCTTCTGATTGGGCTCCTCATCCTGTTGGCTTTGGTACTCAGTGTTGCACGTATGAAATTGGTTGGGGTTGATGAATTACCAGGCCCTGCTCCCACTCAACATGGCTCACAAATAGACCACTCTTTCCCTTTCCTAGAGTCATTGAATGAGGTTTGTTCTTGTATAATAGAACCTCTCTATCTCCCTCTGTCTCCCTATATATATCTCTCTCTTTCTTCCCCCACTTTTTTTATTAATAGGTGGTATTCATATTGTAGGTTTTAGAAACAAACAGGGCTGAGGAGTCACAGAGCCATGTGCACCGGATGTATTTTATGGGTCCTAATACTTTTGGTGATCCTTGGCATTTGCCCCACACACCTCCAGAACAAATAAAAGAGATTGTGTGAGTTAACTTTTATATATCATTTATATTTTCATTTCAATATCCCACTTGGAATTTTAAGGACTTTAAAGTTATGGCGACTTTCCTCATATTAATTATCAATCTTAGTCTGCGTATAACTTATAACAAATCTAAAAGATCATAGTTTGAAATATAGCATTCCTTCTGGCAGATATGAGGGGCCATTCAATACATTTGTCGATGAGATTAATTCCATAGCCACTTATCAGTGGTGGGAGGGAGCAATGTACATCATTCTTTCTGTTCTTGCATACCCGCTTGCATGGTCATGGCAGCAGTGCCGCCGAAGATTGAAATTGCAACATCTACGTGAATTTGTTCGATCGGAGTATGATCATGCCTGCTTACGGTCCTGCCGTTCGCGTGCTTTGTATGAAGGGATTAAGGTTTGAAATTCATTCTATAGTTCAGCACTGAGGGTCGTGAATTAAATGCATACATTGCCTGTGATTAATTCAATTCATATGATAGTAGGGTGCTTCAAACTAATTTACGTGCACTAAGTGGACTTGGAAAACCATCCTGTAACCTTTTTCTGTAATACCGTCAGGTAGCTGCAACTTCTGATTTAATGCTAGCATATATCGACTTCTTCCTTGGTGGTGATGAAAAGAGAACTGATCTTCCCCCCCGTTTACATCAAAGATTTCCTATTTCATTACCCTTTGGAGGTGATGGAAGTTACATGGCCCCTTTCTCACTTCACAGTGATAACATTCTTACAAGCCTCATGAGTCAGGTTTGTTGATTGATGCTGACGAATCCAAACCCAGCTCTGATATTTTTATGCTCTAGCTTCTAAAGAACTTCATTAACCTTAATGCTTTTTGCTGTGCAGTCAGTCCCGCCTACCGCATGGTACCGTATGGTTGCTGGTTTGAATGCACAGTTACGCTTAGTTTGCCGTGGACGGCTAAGAGTTACACTTCAGCCTGTCCTTCGGTGGCTAGAACATTATGCCAATCCTGCCTTGAAGATTTATGGTGTACGTGTTGATCTTGCCTGGTTTCAGGCTACATCTTTTGGTTATTGTCATTATGGGCTCGTGGTGGATGTTCTTGAAGAAGACAGTGAACCTGCCTCTGTTAGGAACATTGATGGAGAAATACGAACTGAAGAATCACGGTAATGGCTTCCATCGTTTGTGTTTAGAAATAGTACACCTATTTAGTCCTTTTCATTTAGACCCCTTCCTTGAGTCTGACTTTGTCTTTCCTTTGACTTTCAGTGCAAACTACAAAGAAGATTCATCTGGTCATTTGAGAGAATCGCTCCTAAACCAGTCTCGCAGAAGTGAAAATTTTATGAGGCCAAAAAGAGAATACGGAGGGATTATAGATGCTAACAACTTACAAACGCTTGAAGAAAAGAGAGACATGTTTTATCTTCTCTCTTTTATACTTCATAATACTAAACCTGTTGGACACCAGGTATCTCTCGTGCTTATATAAATTTGTCTCAGCTTTGGGATCTCTGATTTCTAAACATATATTTCTATGAACTGCAGGATCTTGTTGGTTTGGTCATCTCAATGCTTCTTTTAGGAGATTTGAGCTTAGTTTTGCTTACATTACTCCAGCTGTATTCGATTTCATTGGTGGACGTCTTTCTGGTTCTATTTATTTTACCCCTTGGCATACTTCTCCCGTTTCCTGCTGGTATCAATGCTCTATTCAGTCATGGACCTAGACGCTCTGCTGGGCTTGCACGTCTTTATGCTTTGTGGAACCTTACATCCTTGTTTAATGTTGTAAGTTTCTATTTTTGGCCCTCCGCTTCAAGTCTTCCTTCTCCCAGAAACATCTTTGGCTTTCTAAAGCTTGTTGACTGGTTACTCGTATACGGGTTCACTAATTTGTATCGTATGTTGGTCATATGTGTTCTTTTGCCAGGCGGTTGCTTTTGGTTGCGGTTACGTTCATTATAGCACTCAATCATCAAGTAAAAAGCATCCCTTTCAACCGTGGAGTAACATGTGAGGGGATCTCTCTCTGCCGAAAGCTTCATTAGTTGAGATGGTAAGTTATATTCGACGCAATACTCAACTAACAGGTTGTGTTCGTTTGTCTGGCTGGTGGGTGCAGGGACGAAAGTGAATGGTGGATTTTTCCCGCCGGTCTGCTGCTTTGTAAAGTTTTTCAATCCCAGCTAGTCAATTGGCACGTTGCGAATCTGGAGATTCAGGACCGTTCGTTGTACAGCAATGATTTTGAGCTCTTCTGGCAGTCGTGATGTGATGATCGTATTTAACAAGAAGATACTAACAAGTTGCTTCGGTTCTTTTATCGTGATACGTTTCTGTTGTGCGTTATATTTCGGCAGTAGCCGGTAGGCAGTAGGCAGTAGGTGAGTGATTGACAATTTGACAGGACATAGGTTAGAAAAAATGAAAAGAAAGAGAGTGCTGAAATATGAACAACATTCGTGAAAGTAAAACGAAAGAAATACACTAGAGAGAAGGGCGGGGGAGAGAGACAGGGATTGATTTATGCAACCACTTTTGAGTTATGAACAATGGGAAGCAAGTTAATTTGTAAATGGTAATTGGTCACTCAGCCCTAACTTTTAAGTGTAATCAGGACTGACTGAGTCCGTTTTAATAATAATAGTTATTATTATTGTTGTTGAACGCCAGATATTTTTATAGTGTGACCGTTGCACATCACGTGGTTCTATACAAATGGTGGGTTATGTGTGTTAAAAGGTTAATAACTTAAAAAATAAATTTTTTCACCATTCGTATAAAAACACGTGGTGTACTATCTGTGTTCTCGTCACAATTAAAAATTTCTTGTTCAACACAAGGTCTAGAACGTCTTTCCAATCAGCATTTGTGTTATTTGGAGAATGTTTATTTTTTCATTATTAATATAAATAAAGGCACAAGGCATGAGAAATATCAATCATTGAATTCTTCAAGCTCCTCTCCTCTCTATTGATCTACATCTCTCCCTCCAAATTTATGGTATAGCACGTTATTAACACGCTCTTAATGCTAAGTTAAAAGAAGAATTATTTTGGAGTTTTACCACTCCTTATTTTTTCTAAAAGTTTTTTTACTATTATTAAGAGATGGGGAAGTTTGAAACTATTACAATAATTTAGACGAGGGGAGCCTTGAATCGGGAACGCATGGGTAAAAATCAAACACCTTATCCAGTAGAATATTAGAACACATGCAAAGGAGTATTTACTTTTTTTTTTTCTTTCTTTTATTGAATTGATCTACTTGCTATTAATTCAATTTGCTCTTTTCAATCTTTATGTTGGACGAGATACAACGAATTTAAGATGAAAATCTAGCATTGGAGGATGAACTTGTACAAATTCGTTCACAATATTCATCACCCAATTCAAAACATGGATTCAAGTTTTGATACTCTGTAGATCTATGTATGTATTTGCTTCTTACTCCGGCTCGCTCAGCTAACACATGTATAATTTGAAGGACATTAAAAATTGTGGATCCTGTATTTCAGTTGAGGTCCTCTAACAATTAGAAAAAACAAGATAATAATATGGTTTCTGAGGTGCGGTGATGAACCAATGAAGATTTGCATCAGAATTCATCACTTGTTAAAACTCAGTCTTGGCTTAGACTAGCTACTGTACACGGGAACCATCACCGGGTGCGCAGGTGCATACTGTTCTTGAATCTCTTCCTAAGTTCGGTTGCCTTTCCGCACTCCACACCTACAAACGAGATTCAAAATACAATGTCTCAGCTTGAAAAGCGATCGATGACTCTTCCTGCTTCACATCACATGTCAACTCAACCAGTCCTCACCTTCGACCTATTCAGGTGTTCTGCACCAGTCATGGTTATGGATATTTTTGAACTAACATACTTTGGGATTCAATTTCCTTGAAATGACGAAAAGTTCTAGGTGAAAGACTTCTTCCCTGATATGTCCTCAAGCTAAAACTACCTTCAAATTCCTAATAACCATCCATTATCGAAAAACAAGATCTGAGACAACAAATTTTTCAGTATAACGATCAAAAGGAAGCGAAGTCTTTCCTAAATCTACACAAGATAAAATCAAGCAATAAGGAGATCACTTTTTGAGAAACAAGTTCATACCTTCGATTTCACTGTAAAAAATACAGATATTGAAACAAAAGACTGAACGAGGACACTTCTAAAATCAGAAAACATAAACAAAACGTTTGAATCGATAGGTTTCATCTAATTCCCTTGAGATTCTAAGAGAGAATGCAAAAACTACCTAATAGCAATAGTGCTACTCCTTGTTCAAGACTTTGGGAACTTTAATATACTGCTCCTCATAGTTTGGAACGGCAGCAATCATGGCCTCCCTGTTGAACCCCACAAAACCAAGTTTCAATAGCTTTGTCAAAGAAAACAAATGTGAACCCCAAATTCGAATGCATGAACATACTGAAACAACCATCGCACCTGTTCTCAAACGTTTCAGGAATATCTTCACGGAAACTATCGCCTTCAGTATCTGCAATTGCCACAAACAGAATCAAACGCAAGGCGAAAATACAGCAAGACTTTTATCCATACATCCTCTGGTTATCCAACTAATCAAAACAAACAAAATATCGAAAACTCAACCTCCTGCCTTAGATTAATAAACTATGAACACAGCGTTGCAGCTGAAGCAATGCGGTTTGATTACAGTCTCATTAATTTATTTTCCGAAAAAAAAAACAAATATCGAAAACAACGATGTGAATTATGAAGCAACTACCTGCTCTGATTGAGGGCTCCACAGTTTCAAGATCAACAGCTTGAAGCTGTCCAAACCTGCAAAAATTATGTCAATTACAAAAATGCATAAAAATACTTCCAAACTTTCAACATTTTCTGTCGATTAAAAGAGAAAAAGACGAAGCTTTTTACCAATCTATGACTTGCCCAATTTTGGGAGCAAATTCTTCTACCTGACAAGAGTAAAATTAAATTAAAATTTAAAATTTGAACAAAAAGAAGGGAAATAATCAAAGCAAAGTATTAAGGGTTTGATACCTTACCTCATGAGGGGTCAGAGTAATTCGAGCAGTCTCGGCCAAGCGTGGCAAGTCCGGAGGCTCCAAAGGAAGGCCGCTGCTTTTGGGTGTCGAGCAATTTGTTCGAACCCAATTGATGTTACGAGGAGGAAGGACTTTTGGGAAAAGCAGCTTCTTGGGTAGCGAGGAACAAGATAATCCCTTCAGTAGAAGCAAAGCTCTGCTTCCCATTTTCCTTCGTAGTTGTATCCTCTCAAAGTCGCTGGTCTCTCTCTCGACTGGCAACTAAGCTTGGCTCATCCTATTACTGTTTGACGAAATGACAAAATAGTGCTTGGCTGCGCATACTTTGCCCTCTCTCTCCCCCTCCTGCGCCCTCATCCTTTCATCCACCGCCGTTCAAAACATTTACAAGTGTCATTTGGTACTACAGTCTAGTGATATTCTTTTACATAGTAACAGATCGTAGGTTTGATTCTTATCAAAAGCAAAGCTGAACCATATTATTATGGCAAACACATTGTAAGGTTTAGCCCACTCCCAACTCCCTTAGCTTAGATACTATCGTTTGTTAAAAAAATAAAATACATTTACAAGTTGATCCAAAACACAAGATTATGCCACGTAACGAAAAAAAACAAAATGATGTGTTGAATAAAAAGATTAAAAATACTACTCTTACTATCTATTTGTATAATCATTTATATCATCTCGCTAATAAAAATAAAACACACATGTACTGATAGGTAATATCTTTATAGTACGAATGTTGATACAAATAGATAATAAATATAACATTACTCTTAAAAGAAAAAGTCTGACAAGATAGAATGAAATAAAGGTGGTTGAAAAAGGAAGTGAAAAAGAACATGAAGAAAAGGGTCAAGAAATTGCAAGGAAAAGAAAAAAATGTGAGTGTAGTTTGGGTATAAAATTTTCTATTCTCATTCCACCTTTTACCAATCGGACCTGTCTTCGGAATTCAATTCCTTGAATATCATGAATGTGATTCCTGATTTCGGATTGAAACCACAGCACTTTTCATTCCCATTGAATAGGTAAACACTGGGTTTATGAGGAACATGAATGACTCTCATTTTCCTTATATAAACGCACACCTTAATGCACCTTAGTGCATTCGAATGGAAGCAATGCATCTTGATAATTTGGAGTTTAGAGTTAGCACTTTTGGATTTGAGGTGTGGATTTAGGCCATTAGGCCATCTCCAATTGGGGGTGGTGTTGGGGTGGAAAACAGAAAAAAAATCCTAAATTTGAGTCCAAAACTTCTCCAAGGATTTTGGGGGTGAGAATTTAGGGATTTTGGATCTAGGGGTGGGAATTTGGGGTTTCTTCCCACCCCAAGTGGGCGAGTGCACTAGCAACATGGTTTCTACGGCCCAGGTTGGCATGCCGTTGCCATTTAATGGATGTCGCGCCTTCTGGGTTTTGATCCAATGTGTCGCACCTAGTGACATTATTTTTAAATCTAACGGTTTAAATCTAAATTCGCCAATTAAAATATTATTATTAATTAATCTAAATCAGATCCGACACCAAAATTCCTCCAAAACTCTATAAATACACGTCCTTTGTTCATTAATCCATAAAAAAAAAAACTTCAATTTATCAACATTTTTTTTTTGTTCAGAATGTGAATTTTTTTACATCAAAATGTTCGTAAAAATAAAATAAGATAGATTATACAAAAACTAATTCCAAAATTATTAGCAAAAAAAAAAAATCAACGAAATACAAAAGTTTAACGAGTTATAAAGTTGGGGGCAGAAATTATAAGTCCCTTATCGTTGGAGGAAACAACTGCCTAACCTTGTACGTATAGATGAATATTGAAAAATACGGAGCTAAATTTGAAATTTTCCTTAGGTTGGAGATAGCCTTAGGAGTAAAAGATTTTGCATTTTTGACCTTTTGGGCGTAAAATTAGACAACTTACTATTTAGGCGTGAGTTTTGGGTTTGAATTAGTAGGTTTTGGCCTTTTGGGGTTTTGAAAATACAAGTACATTGCTAATTCTCCAAAAGCCTTGTTGTATATCATTGATATCAGCCATTTAGCACGTTGCTTTCAGTTGGGTATCACATTAGCGTAGTGAGATTAACAAGGAGAACATATCTACAACATTGATACAATTAGCTACATGTAATTCGCCGATTGCAATTCAACTTATGTCCGAACCTCCTCCATCTGCTGTTGTATTGCTCCTCTCTGTAACGCTGTTGTTGCAATGCTGCAGTAAGGGAGAAGCAAATAAACCCGCTTGATGTATGCTGGAAGGTGGTGGATTGGCAGATTGAATGGAGTCCTCGGGAAATGAGGTGGGTGCTATGGTTTTCACTGGAGTGGCCTCTGCGTCACTGGTTCCAGTATGGTCGGTTCCATCTCTCGCAATACCTGCAGCCAGTAATGTTCAGTGGTTGCGTGAGTTAAAATATTACATCCACGGAACTCCAACAATCTAAAGATAACAATGCTTTTTTCACCCCCGAAAGCTGAGAAGCACACTTTTAATGCGAGTACTTTGTGTTCGACAAGAAATATGGAAGAAAGAAGTTGAATCACCTGTATGCACAATGCCGGTATTGGGTATGCTTGTGTTCGGGGACACTGATGAGGTTCCAGCTCCTTTTTTCAATTTAGTCTGCAAAACACAACCACAATAAACTTGTCACGGGTTACTCAAATTTATTTCCTTAATTACCTCAAACTTGTATAGAACTTGTTCTGCTTTTATGCGGACGTATTCTAAATGACATTATGTTTGGGTTTCTTAACATAAAAGAACTAAGAGAAACACATTTTATGGTGTCATCGGGCCCTTCTGAATGTTTTCAGACTGCTGCAGTCAAGTTTAAACCCAAAAAGAGAAAGATCTGGCTACAGAGAAATTAGATTTTTGGCGTTTGAGTTTCCATACCTTTGCATTTTCTTCACAATGCTTTACAACAAAAGAGATGTTTGTGTAACGGCCATGCAGTAATGTGTAAGCCCACAAGAGAAGCTTTCTTGGAATGCTAAGGTCAAGGATTTCGGCGCCATCCATGGTCGGCCTCAATTGTGTATCCTTTGCTAACCAAGACAGAACCAAATACAAGTTGACACCAGATGAGGGCATCACACAGGAGCTCTCACGATAAAAATTATAAGAAGATCGAAGCAGGGAGCTGGCAACCTCCAAATTCTCATCCGAAGCTTTCTTAACCATCAAATTTTTTATTTTAGAGAAAATAGGATTCCGTTTTTCTTCGAGACTTTTGAAATGGGCTGGGTCCTCAAATGCTGAACTCCATAATTCATCTGTTTGTAGATCAACACAAAGCAGCTCGCTATTTTCCAGCATATCTGATGGCTTAAGGACCTGAATCTCACTGGTGATTTCAGACTGCGTGGGAGTGATCTGTGCCAAGCTCAGTATAAGAGATCGACACCAAGCAATGGAAGCATGCCTACAAACTTTTGCACAGTTACTGTTTGACAATTTTGGATTCTTAAACCTCTTCCGTATCTTCTCATTTATGGCTTCAAGAGTGTCCAGCTTGCCATTTTTCTCCAATGTTGTTATATGTTCATGAAGAAATCTGCAGAAGTACGAGGAGATCATTAGAATCTGGAAGGAGAACCATCTTGTTTAAAATAATAACATAAATAGATCAGGACTCTGAAGTTAATCACTCAAGTTTAATTAGAATTTGAGGATCGAGGCTTAGAAAGCAGTTGAGATTCAACTTACCCATATAAACTGCTTTCCGACGTCTCTGTGACTTTAATCTCAGGCAAAGCACATATTTCTGGCCATAAGTTCCCCTGCTCCATGAACAAACAAAACACTTTCTCCAATATGTGCTCGGAATTACTTGTAGCACCAGAGCCAACAGTCTTAGCTTGACGTATGGATGAAATCAGGGCCTTAACGTACCTCCCTAGTGCAACTGGAACAAGATCTTCAATGCATAGTGAAAACTGAATTTTGGAATCAAGTCAGATCCCATTTAAATTGATGGAGAAAAAAACATACATCAGCAACAGAATAAGAACAGCTTGATGAGGCAATGCCGTTTTAGCAGTAATTTGAACTACTAATGTACTAGAGGTTAAATTATTACCCTTTTATCAGCTCGAAGAGATATATAAGCACGTTCAAGAGTACAGATGTCTCCAGTCTTCTCCAACAGTTCCAAATAGAACAACAGATATTTCCGAATGCAAGTAATAAATTTTCGAGAACTTTCAGGTAAGTTAACTTCAAGGGACTTTTTACTCCCAGAAACACCAGGAGTTTTCCGCCTGATAAACAGAGAAGAATATCCCATTAGTTTCATATGAATTATAATTTCAAGCTACCTAACAACATGGACAACAAACAAACTGAACCGAACTGGAAGGATTTTCCCTTAGATGGTTTTGTTTTAAACCATTGAAATGGGGTTTTTCCTATAACTTTCGAAAAACTTAACTGTTGCACAGAATTAAAGTTGTACCTTCCTTTTTTGGCCGTGCTATCAATCTCCCACATATTTATTGTAAATGATGAGCGAGATGATTTGAAGCAAAAGGAGAGATCGTCCTTTGCCCTCTCCAATGCACCACTTTCCCCCTTTCTAAACAGACCTTGAGCAAGCATATATCTGGCTTTATGAAAATGTTTAAGCTCCCCTTCAACACAAGTTTCAAGGGCAGAAAGACAATCGCTGTAAAGCATGTTCCACACCTCTAATTTGAGTAAATCTTCATTCTTCTCCCCAGTGTTTTCTTGTGTGCTTTTATCCTTAGGCGAATATGAATTTTCAGAATCCATGTTACCTAAAATCATCATGATAGAATCCTTTCTTGATTGACTAAAGGCATATGTTGAAAGAACCTGAAAGGGCCAAAGATTAATTTCAAAACATGTACAATAGTAGGATATAAAAAGTCTCCAAGTCCACAAATTATTTCAATGAAATCAGTTGAGCAGACATCTCTAAGAAGAAACAACCTTTAAAGCGTCTAGATTTTGTTTTCCGCATGCACAAAGTATCTTCAAGCGCGAAGCATGCATCCTGTAGACTGGATCTACAGCTGATGGATTTAGAGCAATAGCTTTGTCATAATATGACAACGATGTCTCATAAGAGAATTTGAGCTTTTCACAGAGCTTTCCGATATAGTAAGCATGTGACCAATCTTGCCTGATACAGAAGAAAGCACAGACAGATTACCATTTGATTATGGCACATGAAGTGGTTAGTTTTTGTCTGGAAAAATGAAACCATGTAGTAAAGAGGGCATACTTATGAGCAAAAGCTTTTTTAAAATGTCTCATTGAGTTCTCACAAAACATCATCCATGCTGCATCCTT